TGCTGGCTTTCCTTTGATAGATAAGGGATGGTCTAGGGTTTCCTGTGACGTGGATGTGAGATTAGATTGTTGTGTGGTAAGCACACAGGGGTGGAATTAAAGGGGCTCTTGCCTGTATCCGGGCAGATGGGTCCCATCAGCAGCAGGTCTTCTCTGACAGCGGGGAGCTGTGTGCTGCAGTTTGGCCTGGGGCTATGGGAACCTGGGGAGGCAGGTACTGCCTCATGTCCTGAGGGAAGCAAAGCTTAGTGGGTCAGAGACAGGTGACACTGGGGCAAGAAGTCACTGCATGAGGTCATTCCTAGCTAAGCAGTGAGGGCACCCTAAATTGGTTCATCACAAGCCAAAGCAGGACTTAAACCACCTTTTCTTTCTTTTAAATTCTCCAAACAACCATCAGCCATGGGAGTGCTTTCCTCTGGTCCAGGCGCTACTGTTCCAGCACAGGCAGTCTCTCTGTGCTAAGGGACGTTCAGTTTTTTCTCAGGTGCTTTGGCTATTCCATCAAGACCATGGAGGCAGGAAACTATAAGTGAGGCTGTCTGTTCCCTAGAAATGCCTGAAGTCATAGTTCCTCATTAGCATTCCAGGATCAGCATCAGATGGGAGTATTGGCAAATTGGAATTGGTTTAAAATGACTGCTGCACTGCTCAGTGCTCAGTTACAGTCCTCTGAAATGCTGTTCCCATTTTGGCACAACCAGGGAGCTGTGGCTGGAGCCCAAAGTGATTCCTGAGTCGCACTGAGAAATGTCTGTGCTTGCCCTGCCATGCAGATGTTTCCCATCTGCTTTCTCTACACTCTTCTTACAGCATCTCAATGGCCAAGCTGAAATAATTGCAGTAGATCTTAACTATGTGAGGAGTGATGGACAGCGTGTGCCTGGGCAGAATCTGTTTTAAACCTTGTGCTGTTGTGCTTGGCCACACAACTTCAGCTCATGCAGCAGAACCCAAAACCAGTCCAGCAGCTGGCCTAGGAACACAAGCTAATAAAATAGTATGTTTTCCTGGCTGTCACCATCTCTGGAGATAGGTCATGGTTCCTGTCATCTATGGCCCAGATGCACAACTAGAGATCTTGGCAGAAAGTCCTCTTGGGTCTCCAACTTATCTCTCCTACCTCATTAGGGACACCAGCACAGCTTTTTGGTCTTTGTCAGTATGTAGTGTCAGATTCTTCCTAGATCAAATGCCTGTCCCATGTGATGTTTTCCCAAATCCTTGTATTTCACATTGCTTCCCATGCCTTCCCTTGGCTGTGAGGCCAAGCTGGCCTGAGGTCTGTAGAAAGCACAGTGTGGGCTGTGTCATGCTGCCCCATGTGGTGTTTGGGACCAGGTGGGGATGGCCTGACCCTGCCTGCTTGGAAAGTTTGATCTATATGTGTCTCCTAACATGTTACTAAGGCAGCCTTCCATGATACAGCGCAGCTGAGAAGCTGGTTAGTCTCCAGCACTGAACTGATTCTCCAGGTGATGCCAGCCTGTCTGGCCCTGGCAGCTGTGGAGCAGCCCATGGGGCCTGTTTATCTCCTAAGGAGCGGGACAGAGGCTTGTGCAAGCGTGTGTGCCTACCTTCAGGAGCTGCTGTGACATCCTTTCTCCAGCCTGATCAGTGTCATTCTCAGCCTTGTCTTGGGGATTGGCTCTGCCTCTCTGAGTGGAGCTCTTTGGAGGGTTGGATCCACTGAAATTGCTGAGCAAATAGAGCCTCGAAATGCCTCAGTTATGGAGGCAGCTGTTTGCCATCACTTTCCTCATGTCTTGGGGAGTGGGTGCCACTTTTCCAGGGAAGGCCCCAGGGCTGCTCACTTGTTGGAGAGCAGTTTGAGAGGTACATGGAGAAGGAAGAGAGTGAAACCAGTTAGAGGCTGGTCAATTGTACAAGAAGGGAAAAGGATTGTTCCCTGCAGGGTGGGACCTGTGTGTGGAGGTGCAGCAAAGTAACAGAGGCTGGCAAGGTGAGGGGGAGGTTCACAGCTGGAATCATCATGGTGATGTGTGAGAAGGAGGCAGGTCCCCCGTCCCTTGCTTGTGGGGGAGACGGTGTGTGTTTTTGCTCTCTGGCTCTGTGCAGCTCTGCCTACTCTGCAAGGAACTGTGAAAGTGATGACTTTGAGTGCTGCTGGGGGCATCAGAGGGGCAGGAGGGATGAGACTTGCTCAGCCCTTGGGGAGCCCAAGGGACTGTAACTGGTGTAAAAAAAAAAAAAAAAATTTGGCACTGATTGACACACTGTGCTTGGTTTCTGCAGCCCATCTCCAGAGGAGGGAATGGGTGATGAATTCGACCTGATGGATCACTCAGATCTCTACATCCTCGACTTCAGTACGTGAGCACTCCCTGCCCAGCCTGTACCTCTTGCCACAAGGTGCCCTGTGAGCAGGCCCTGCTGTGAAGCACCATACTGTGCCCTACGTGGCTCCAGGTGCCTGTATCCCAGAACCAAACAGCTGTCTCTGACAAGTGTACATGGCTTAAGGCAGACCAGTGAGAGGTGCAGCTGTGTGTCATGCACTCCTGCACACATACTTCTTTGTGCCAGCATAGAAAACTGCTCCAGATGGTCCCTGGTATGCATTCTACCTTGTCCCTGAGAGGGATGGCCAGGGTGCTCTGCCCTGTTTCCTGTCGCACTGATTGCATGATGCTGGACCCCCCCATGGTGTCCAGATGAGGACTGCTGTGTCTAACTGCCCTCTTTCCACAGGCCCCAGTCTAAAGACGCTGTGTAAGCTAGCAGTGATTCAGTACAGCCTGGACCAGTCCTGCCTTCCCCATGACATCAGGTATGGTGTGCCTTGCTGGGAGGTCACCTTGTGGGTGATCTCTGTCCTTAGGGTGCTCCAGCCCTGGCTGAGGTCTGCCTGGGGTCTTCCTTGGCACTGTGCAGCTTTGGGGCAGGCTGGGCTGGAGACTACAGCTGAGGCTCATGTGAAGCAAAGCTGCTCCAGCCCTGGGTGCTGTGTTTGTGCTTTCTCTTAGTGTGTCCCTTTGGTGTGTTACAGATGGGAGCTCTCGGCCATGACAACAAACAGCACCATCAGTCGCCCCATCGTCTCCAACCAGGGCTGATGCTGACTCGTCCCTCTACCACCCTGCCCTCGCCCCTCCACACATTGACCTCTTGCTCCACTGCCTGCATGAATTTTTAGCCCTTTCAAGCAAGGAAGGTGTGAGCTCAGTTTGTCTTGCCCTAGCCAGGCCTCCCTCTGCCCTTGTCATGCTTTGGGCAGCACGAGTGTACAGGCAGAACTGGCCACTGGGGAAAAAAACTGGCTGGCCCCAGCAGTACAGCTGTGACCCCTCTCCTTGCTGATGGCTCCAGCGTCTTCCTTCCCTTTGCCTGTGGAACTGCAGCTGTGCTGTCCGGTCCCCGGCCACTTTCCAAGGGCCTGAATCAACTTTTACCACCAGCCATGGCCCTGGGGTTGACCTCAGGCTATGAACTGTTCCTGCATTGCCTCAAGAGAGCAGGAACCTCTACACCTGCTCCTGCCAGCACTGACCAACGTCCTGGCACTAGATGACAGGCCCCAGCTCCAAGCTGAGCCCAATGTGGAGGGCTGGGCCCAGCTGGACTCTCTGCCCAGATCCAATTGTAAAACAGCAATCGGGGGCAGTTTTATAAATTCTGAGGCAGACATGGTTTCTGCTGCTGTGTGTGTCCTAGCAGGTGAACTGGGGGTGTGAGAGAGGGTGTGAGAGAGGAGAGACTGAACCAGGTGCTTTCCCCCAGAGCTGCAGGCCACTAGTGGCTTGTGGCAGCAGCAGGCTCTGGCTGGTGTGAGCCCTGGCTGGGGTGGCAGAAGGGAAGCTGGGCCCTCCACAGCAGCACTGCCCTGGTGTACCTGCCTCCTGCCCAGGGCTGTGCTGCCTTGCCAAGAGGACAGGGAAGAAAGTGGTGTACGTCTCCTGGGCTGTGCTGCCTCAGAAAGGTGGATGCCCTGTTGCTTCCTGCTTCAGGGCTGGAGATGGAGTGGTGCCTGGGACAGTCTTCCTGGGTGGCACAGAGCGCTGTGCTCAAGCCCCTTTCTGTGGATGTGCGGTGTCTGATGTGAAGAGGAGCTCCCATGGCAACTCTAGTGAGGCTAATGCAGGGACAGCATTAGCCTAGGGAAGCACTCAGGGTGTTTCCTGGGATGTTTTCCAGGGCAGCCGAGCTGATTGCAGCCGCATGCCAGGAACGGGTGGCAGAGGGCCCAGGCTGTCCGCCCTGCCCTGAGGGCTGGCACACAGCCAGAGTCAAGTGCTGCTCATCCAGCAGCACAAGGTTGCGTGGGTGCCTGGGCTCCTTGACCTGCAGGGGGTGGCCAATGTGGGCACAATGGAGCAGTCTGGAGTGGCACAAGAGTGGTGAAAACCCCGTGGCAGGAGAACAGAAGGCACCTCAAGTGTGACAAGAGCTTGTTTTTCATGCACTGGCAGCTCACCGTGATGGGTGATTAGCAGCAGTGGCAGGCTGGGGCCTGGAGGGAGACAGGTGTGCTGACAGTACATCTGGCTCAGGGAGAACAGCCCCAGCCTCGGCTCCTCCTTTGTGGTCCTTGGCACCTGCAGATTACTTGTGAGGGCTGAGTGGACATCTACCCTCTGTTGTGCAGCAGTTCTAACTCCTCAAATCAACTGCTTCAGCCACAGGCGCTCTCTCAAGCTGTGAAATGACATAGTGATTTTTTTTTGCCATGGCATCCCCTCTCCCAGCACTGAAGCACCAAGCTTACTCTCCTTCCAGGATGCCAGGCACCAGGAAACACCCACAGACCACACAGACTTGCTGGGCTGGGTAATGTGGTGCTGAGCAGAGGCTCCCCAAGGTGCTCTCAATTCTGTCCATGAATGGCTGTCACTGGGGCTTATCTGGGAAGAATCACAATCTCTACACCACCAAGTGGAGACAACAGGCCCTAGAAAGGCTCAGCACCCCATGTCAGTTGCCTCTAGGAGAGCAAACCTTTGGTGGGGAAAAGGCCTCTCTGGGAAGAAAAGAAAGGGGAAAAGGCCTCTCTGGGAAGAAAAGAAAGGGGTCACCAACACCACAATCTCCTTGAACGGTTCTCTTGGGTTCAGGGGTGCTGTGGCCCTGACTCCCTCTGCCAGGACCCTGCTGCAGGCCTGAGCATGGGAAATTCTCACTGTCTTGGTCCAGATGTCTTCAGTGCATTTTCTTGGCTTATTAGCTCCTTTTCACAGCACCCAGCTCACCAGTGATGCTGGAGAGCAGCTGCCAGGCAGGCAGACTAGATGCAGAACCTTCTGCTGGGGCGGCAGCAGCTGTGGGCCAGGAGCTGGGCAGATGTATGCCATGCAGGGGGATCCCTGCTGTCTTCGTCACTGCCCCCTCCTGAGTGGCAGGTTTGCTTTAAAGACCCTGGTTTCCTTTTATTACTTCCCCTCTCAGATTGCAGCCGGCTGCAAGGCTATTTTTAGCAGCCTGCCTTCTAAAAATAGCTCTGAGCTGTTTGGAGTTGCGTCACAAGAGGTAACTCTCTCCACGAGTGGCTTGGCCTCTGCACCCCAGGAGGATACAAAAGGAGGCCAGGAGCAGAGGGGTCAGCAGGTTCAGCCACAGCCAGAAGCGAAGGAGGCAGCAGTTCGGGCCTGCCAGCTTCAGGCATTGCAGCACCAGCAGTATGACCATCTTCTGCAGCCACTGCCACCAGCCCCTGCAGGCAGAGATGAGCTGCCTGCCCAGGAGGGGTAAGCAGGCGCCCAGGGCCTCAAGGCCATTCAGGTGAGCTCCCCCCCACCTCCCACTTTCAGGGCTGTGATGGCCTCTGAGAGCCCTGAGACAGGTCTGATGGCCCTTGCAAGAGGCTTACACCAGCCTGAGACAGTGGGGCTATTAGCTGGCACATGGGGAGGAGGTGCAGGAGCTTGGTGGGGCCAGAGGAATTTTGAGTAGTTGAAGAGGAAAGGCGTATCTGGTGGACTGGGGTGCACGTTCTGGCACTGGATGCAATTTCCATCCTTGTGGGGTTTGGTGGCGAGGTTGTGTCACGTGGGCTTCCTCACCAAAGCACAGGTCATTGTCCAGCCTGGTCCCCAGCAGGAGGGACACCAGCCACACCAGCAGCATGTCCCCTTGGGTAGCCTTGAGCACCTCTGCCTGCACCCACTGCACCGAAACAGCTATGCAAGGTTTGCTCTCCTAGAGGCAGCAGCTGGCATGGGTGCTGAGCATCTCCACTCCATATCCCCAAGCTCATAATTCTCCCCATAGCGACAGGCGGGGAATGCTGTCCCTTTCCCTCCCCGGATGCACCTCCCCAGATGGCTGGCTTTGCAGGTCAACCAAGAGTGCCTCCAAGGCTCGCCGGGACCAGATCAATGCAGAGCTGCAGGCATTGCGTTCCCTGCTGCCCATCTCCATGCGGGAGAAGGAGCGGCTCTCCTATCTCCACACCATGGCCCTGGTGTGCCTCCGGCTGCGGGGGGCTCAGCTATTCCCTCCAGGTACCCATGGCACTGCTGTACCCCATACTGTCTTACATCTGTGTGGGGCACCATCAAGACAGCACTTCACCCTGATCCCCCTGCAGGCTCAGCTCTTCCTGTGGAACCGGCCCTCGGCACAGAGCTACTCTCCCTGCTCCCGGGGTTTCTGCTTGTGCTGTCGGCCAGTGGAAAGCTGGTCTACATCTCGGAGAACGTGGCTCAGGTCCTGGGCCTTTCCGTGGTAAGGCTTGCTCACTAGGCATTTGTAGTCACTGTCCTGGTGCCTTTATTGTGTGCACAGCACACTGCCCCAGCAGATGCTGGGTTGTGGCTCTAGTGGTCTGTGTGCCCATGGTGCCAGCCAAGGCTCACCAAAACAGGCACAGTTCTTGAGGAAAGCCCCCTCTTTTGTCAGGTGGAGCTGCTCGCCCAGGGGGACACGGTCTTTGACATCCTGGATGGGCAAGCATGTGAGGATGTGTACAAGAAGCTCCTCCTTGCCCAGGAGGAGCCTGGCAGGGGTAAGGGAGGCCTCTGCTGGCATCTTGCAGATGTTGCCGCCTTGCTCTGGCCCTCAGTGGCTGTGATCAGAGATCCAGGGCCAGCCATGCTGAGAGCAGAGCAGGGGAGCCTCTGACCCACTCGGAATGGTTTGTTTCTCTGCAGAAGTCACTTTTGTCAGTGAAATGTGCACGTCCAAGGCCTTCCGGTTGAAGCACGGAGGGAATCGGGTCGTGACAGTGTGTGGGCGCTTTGTGGCCCTGAGCTGGCCACCCTCCCCCTCCACCACAGCCTTCCTGGCCCTCTGCTCACCGGTCATGCAGTCGCCTGCAGATGGCGAAGCTGGTTCCCAGGATGACATATTCCAGAGCACGCACATCCTAGACATGACGTTTATTGATGTCACGGAGAGGTGAGGTGTGCCTGCTTGCACCAGAGCCCCAGCTGTACATCTCAGGCAGCAAGAATCATTTCCCTTCACCAAGCCTTGTATGGGATGCAGGCTAGATACTGTGTGAGCACTGAGACTCACAGACACTTCCCAGACCTCTTCCCTCCTTTACAACTTATTTCTGTACCTCTGTTGTTTTGCTGTCCCCTCCATCAAGCAGCTGCTGCTCCTTGCTGACAGGGTGCGAACCCTGTATGGCACTCAGTCCCCACTCCCCTTGTCTCCCCCAGTGTCACCTACCACCTTGGCTACCGCAGGGAGGAGCTAGTCGGTCAGTCCTGGTACAGCCTCCTGCACCCTGAGGATGCTGATCTGGCAGCTGCCCAACACAGGGCCGTGGGTGAGTGTCGGACCCAGGAACATGTGTGCTGTCCTCTGGCTACATGGTCTGGCTGTTCCTGAAACATGTCTATCCAGGACAGCAGACGCAAATCGAATTCAGTCCTGCCCACTGAGACTCCCTGCTCCAAAAGGATGAGGCAGGGATTTGGTCACACACTGTCTATAAGGTCACCGGTAGCTTCCAAGCTTCGGAAGCTTTGCCACGGTGCACAGAGGAGGGACAAGCCCCCTTGAGCTCCAGCTCTTTCGGGGGGCAGGACTCCTACGGCCTGACTCTGCTCTGTGTGGCTTCAGTGGCGCTGGGGCCAGAGCAGTGATCGCCAGCAGACCTCATGGGGGCAGCCTAGGGGGTGTGCAGGCGGCCTGCCGCCGCCTAACGCAGTCGCTTCCCTTGCCCGCAGCGCTCGGGGCCGGCGCCGGGCCCGCCTCGGGGACCGCGGTGCTGCGGGTGCTGCGCCGGGACCGCGCCTGGGCCTGGCTGCGAGTGTGGGCGAGGCGGGACGGCGGGGGCCGCTGCATCTCCTGCACCTGCACCTGCCTCAGGTGAGGGGGCCCCGGGGGAGTGGCGGGGACCGCTGCATCACCTGCCGCCCCTGACCCCTTGTCCCCGCAGGGAAGAGGAGGCGGCCCACCTGCGCTCCCGGCAGCCCCGCGGCGCCGCCCCGCCGGCGGGCCCGGAGCTCAGCCGTCTCGCCGCGCAGCTCCGCGCCCTCGCCGACCGCCTCTCGCCGACCGCCTCTGCCCCGCCCGCGCCAAGACCTCCGCCCCTTCCCGAGGAAGGCGATGCCGATGCCTCTGACTGTCCTGGGAACTCTCTACTGAACCCTCCCCAGTTCCTCCCCTCTCCTTTTAACTGGGGAGCGGTGAGAAAATTGGATGCAACATTCCAAGTGTGCCCTCACAGGTCTCAAGTCTACAGAGACACTGACATCCCTTGGTGTGCTGACTGTATCTCTCCTAATGCAGGCCACTGTGTGTAACTCCGTCTCCGTTCAGACAGTCACTGCTAAGACCTTCAGCTGACGCAATTCAAGGCGATGGCAAACCCTCATTTTACACAGTTGGTGCTCGTGTTAGAAACCTTGGTCAGGCTGTGATACAATCCAGCATCAAGATGACTCAGTTCGGCAGTGCAGAGGGATCTCGATCTTGCACTTTACCACTTATTGACGAATTAGCTGGATATCACCAGAGTGCGTACGTGACCTGTTCCTCACAAAGGAACGATTTTTGCTTAAAAATGACGCCAATAAAACCCGCTCCCCCACGTGACTCTCTGGCGTGCCCTGGTTCCGCTTCCGGGAGGGCGGGGCCGCGGGCGGGGGCGATGAGGCCGCACCGGGACCGGGCGGGACGGGGACGAGTTGCCGCCGCTGCCGCCGCCACGGAGGGCGAGGAAGATGCGGTCGCGGAGCAGCCGCTCGGGAGGCTGGAGGCAGTGGAGGGCGATGGCGACAGCGACGACGACGGTAGCCTCTCAGGGGACGAGGAGGCGGAGGCGGCGGGGCCCGGCGGGAGAGGTGAGAGGGGTCCCGGCGGCAGCGCCTCCGGTACGGGCGGCGGCCTCAGCGCGCATCGAGAGGGTCACGGCCCCCCGCTCAGTAGGAAACGAGTTGTCAAATGGCTTGGTCCATTTCGTATTCCATGGTCACATTTCGTATTCCAAGTCCTGCATCCCTCCCTCACCTGCTCCGCTCAGAGGATGAGCTCGGGATCACAGCAGGGTGTGCGCTGGAGATGCGTGAGAGGTCCCTGGAACAAAAACCATGTAGGGACCTCTTCCCCGTAGTCGCCTTCCCTGTATGTGGAATCACAGAACTATAGAGTGGTTTGGGTTGGAAGGGGCTTAAAGATCATCCACTTCCAGCCCCCCTGTCGTGGGCAGGGACACCTTCTACTGTGGAAGATCTCACACATCTCCAGGACAATTGCTCTGTGCAAATTCAGGCGCGGAGGAGCTCCTCACTAGGACAGGTGGAGTGGGAGAACCGGGCGGTGCGTGTCTGTGGGCACGGCATGGGCTGAGGTTCAGGGTGTGCAGGTGGTGGTTCTCATCCACAGTGGTGAGCACAGTGTGGTTTCCTCATCTCAAAATGATCCAGGTGAGAACGAAAACCTTACGAAAAGTACAGCAAAGGCCCTTAAACAAAACTGAGGTGTCAAACACATGGCGTGATGCGAGTGTGAGGAGTCACCGATTGTCTTGTGAAAGGGGTCTCCGTGGTGTGTCTGAGTGGGGCCATGGGGGAGGCACATCTTCTCTAAAGGTGGACTTTTGGGACTGGCAAGGTGCCCCACTATCTTAGTCATTTTGGTTTCCTCTGGTGAGGAAATGGTGAGCTTTAGCAAAGCTCAGAGAGAGGACCACTGACAGGCACCCTTTCCTTTCCACAGCTGGATGTGAATGGGAACAGTAGTTTTACTTTTGCCGTCTGTTGGAGGCCTCTGTAATCTTATGTCTGGAGCAGAAGGAGTTATATTTGAGTCCAGCACTAATTTTGTTTCAGCAGGGAACAATTGGGCAGATATCAGCCATATCTTAGGCCATCTGTTCTTGCTCTGATGTGCTCAGCAGGTCGTATAGCCCTCTACAGGCTGGGAAAGGCATAAGGTGTCCATGTGTCACAGGAGTCTGTGGGAGGATAGGAAACACGAGGAGGCTGCGCTCCTGAGCAGGAAATGTCCCTGTTATCGGTAGGTAACAGCAGCGTATCAAGAGGTGCAAAAAAGAGGAAATAATCCACAAAATAATGGATGAAGGGAAAAAATGGTAGGAGGGAAAAAATGAAATTGACTACAGAGACAGAACAGAAAAGGTAAGTTATATTCTAGGGAGAAAAATGAATGAAAAAATGGGGGAATTAGGGCCTCAAGAAAGAATGCAAGTAACAAAGGAAATAAACTAATCCTGTCTTTTTAACTGGGGCCTTTTCACACACACAGTTGCCAGTTCTGCTGCCCAGCAGTGAACATCTGCTAGGACCATTCACTTCTACCCCAAAACATGTTTATTATGTCCAGTGATGTTCTGATGAATGTGAGTGGCTAATTCAATCTCCTACAAATGGGGTGTATTTATTGGACTGATACTACTGTGTGGAAATCATCCCCATTAGGTTTTGGGTAGTCAAGTCTGGTCACCTGTACCAGTACTGAAATATTTTATCAGTGGAAGCTCTGCATGCCTTTGCTTTTTTTGGTTTATACCAAATCTCTTTTCTAATCCTTTGTATCTTTTTACATGGTGTCTTTGTCTTGTTTTTAGTGACATCTTGTAAGCCTTTGCTATTTAAACAGTATTGTTTTGGAATTGCAGCTAAGTGGAGTATTGTAGTGCAAGTGATGGCGTCTTGTCTGTCTTCAACCTGTGTTAAGAGTATCTTCCACATCATTATGGTCTTAAGCTCTGCCAGGGGAGGTTTAGGTTAGATATTAGGGAGAAATTCTTTACAGAGAGGGTAATCAGGCATTGGAATGGGCTGCCCAGGGAAGTGGTGGATTCTCCGTCCCTGGAGGTTTTTAATATGAGACTGGCTGTGGCACTTAGTGCTGTGGTCTAGTAACCACGGTGGTAGTGGATCAAAGGTTGGACTTGATGATCTCAGAGGTCCTTTCCAACCCGGCTGATTCTATGATTCTTCCTTTCCTTTAATGCTTTCTTTGCCCTTTTCACTGGTCCTTGTTCAGTGTCTTTCATTTGTGTGCCCAGTGATGCTTTGAGTGATACTTAAATATTGCCGTATGTAGAGGTTAATTGCTTTGTCCTCAAGTAACTTGTATAATTAGCGCAGATTTTTCCTGAATTTGAGCAGTGTGGTGGCAGATTCTCTTGTCCACTAATTTGTTGGTTTTCTTGTGTCTCTGTGAACCCCAATAGCGAGATTAATGTAAATTGCTGAGCTGCATGGCACTCTGCTCATGCCTGAGTGCAGGGACAGCTCATTGGTCTGAAGGGGATTTCACATTCTGGACAGGCAGTAAGTGATTGTACACGAGTGACAAGGGAAAAGGTGGAGAGCAGAAAGGGCAATGGTGCTGTCATCGCTAAGAAGGCAGGGGCAAGGGTGTTTGCAGGAGTGCAAGCAAGAGAGGATGTCAACTTGCAGTAAGATAAGGGGGAAGGGTGTTTTGGGGAAGTAGTGTAACGAAATCATTCTGTATTCGCATTTCTTTTATCCCTTGTGTGGCAGACTGGATGTACAGTGTTCCCTTAGACTACTTCAGAGGACTAAGGACATGGACAGAGCAGAGTTCATGAGTGTTCAGAACAAGCAAAAAGAAAACATTTCCTGAGGCAACACATGGCTGTGCCCATTAGGTTTTCTGAATGATGAGAGTAGTTTCTGAAACAGAAGGTCTTAGTTATTGCCAGGATGAGAGTGACTGGGATAATAAATAGTAAGCCCATGCTCTGAGCCAATGTGACTGACCTCATGTTGCTTCCTGAATTTGGCAAAGCACACAGAAACCTTGCTCTTGGGGCAGTGTTTTGGGTTTGCGTGGCAAGGGTTTGGTAGCGAGTGGGCTACAAGGATGCCAGAAGCTTCTCACATGTCCCATTAGCTCAGCTGCAGCCAGGGGCTTTTATAAGCAACAGTGGTAGCCCCTCTGTGGTAACATCTAAGAAGGGGAAAAGCCCTGCTGCTGACCAGCAGCTGGTAGAAAGGAGTGAGAATATGTGAGAGAAAGAGCCCTGCAAACACCAAAATCAGTGAAGAAGGAGAGGGAGGAGGTGCTTCAGGTGGCTGGGCAGAGATACCCCTGCAGCCTGTGGTGCAGCCCATGGTGAGGCAGCTGTGCCTCTGCAGCCCATGGAGGACCCCACACTGAAGTGAGTGAATGTGCCACCATGAGAAGCTGGAGCAGGTTTGCTGGCAGGACTTGTGACCCCATGGGGGACCCACGCTGGAGCAGCCTGTTCCTGAAGGACTCCACTCTGTGGAAAGGGACCCACACTGGAGCAGTTCGTGAAGAACTGCGTCCCAATCTGTTTGTTTTGCTCGTGTGACGGTAATTGGTGAGTGATCTCTCCTGGCTTTATGTCAACCCATGAGCCTTTGTTGTATTTTCTCTTCCCTATCTAGCAGAGGAGAGGAGTGATAGAGCAGCTTGGTGGGCACTTGGCACCCAGCCAAGGCCAATGTACCACAGACAGGATGTGATTGTTCCTGCTGGGCCACAGCTGGGGTGTTCTGTGACAAATGCATTAGTATCACAGAGGCTTAGAAAGGCCATGTGCCTGTCACTGCTCAGAGGTGTTGAGCAGGCAAACACCACTCAAGTCAATTTGCCAAGACTTTACCTTTTAGAAGTGAGCCAGTACAAACCCCTTCTTGCCCCTACGAGAGAACAGAATGAGCGTATCCAAGTGCTGACTTAAAAAGTGTTTCAGTTGTTCGTTCTGAACACCCAGCGGTGTAAATCCAGAAAGAATCATTTTTACATTCTGTTATAAGAAGTGTTAAAGGTTACTGACACTGAGGGATATTAAAGAAATTTATCAACAGACAATTCCAGCAGAATATTGTGCATTCATTACCACCATGGGTAGAATTAGTTTTGCTGTTTCCTGTGTTGTCAGCAGTCAGAGAAGAGAAGGAACATTTTACGAAACACAGGATGTAAATAAAGTTCTGGGGAGCTCCCAGCAAGGTTAGGATATGAAACTGCTTTTTGGTGTTGTGGGGTTTTATCTTCCCCAGTGTATCAGGCTATAAACTGTTTCTGTTGGCAGTGAGTGGTGAAGGTTGAATGTCTAGATTTCAGTAGTTCACAGGCCCCTGGTGTGTCGAGGAAGGTCTGCTGTGGGAGCTGCTCCACTGCTGACTGAGCAGAGCAATGGCAGATGTGCAGTGGGGAGTTTGTCTCCAAATCTTAACAGACTGAATAGGCCATGTGGTTTTCTTTCACCTCTTGGCTGGTTTTGTGCTGTGAGAGGTGTGATGATGCCCATTTAAAGGCAATGGAACAACAGTCTGTTGAAGTGGGAGAGTGGGGACTGAGAGGTGGCCAGAATTTGCAATGTAGCCAAAGTATAACCCAGTGCAGAGCTCTTACTGCTCTTTGTACCAGGTAGAACCTTTGTACTGCTCTTTTCTGTGCTATTGAGTGGAGAGAGAAGCAAAGACACATTGGGGCGAGGGGGAGACTATTCCAGTGGTAAAGACTGAAGTGATTAATGAGAGAGGAATCAAAGGCTGAGACGCAGAGGCTTCTTTCTGCCATGCAGTTGTACAGGGATGACACTACTGTGCTTGTGTCACTGTCTCAGG